CCCCCCCCCCCCCCCCCCCCCCCCCCCCCCATGGAAGAAAAGTATTTTACTAGTTGTGTCATTTTATTTTAACTTTGTTGCTATCAGGGGTTAAATTGAAAACAGAGTCCAGTGTAAAGTATTCATGTCTGACACAAATTTCATGTACCATATCCTAAGTCTCATGAGGACATAAGTGTCCTCTGAAGTGTCCCTGCGGTGACATTCGGTGGTACTCACTGAGATGAATTATACTTTCTATGAATTAAAGGAGGTAGAGAACTGGAGTAAATTTCTGAAAAACCCATTGATGCTTTTACATATATATTTTCTGTGTAGCTATTTACTTATTATGAATCTAATTAAACATAAGATATTTAATTATATGATTTAACTTATTTTAGTCTAGTTTGAAATTATTTTCAGTGTATATAAGAAAAGAGCTGATTACGCAAACTTCTGTGCTGCTGTGACTTTAAGCTGTGCACCAACTGTGGTTTATTATCTGATTAGAGGCTGTCATGCACAAGAGAGTAAAACTAAGCTTTCACAAGTAACTTAAAACCTTTAGACTTGCAGTCTAGGTAATTTATGTTAATATAGTATGTATGTGTACTTAGAGATTTAAATTTTAAGAAAGAGGAAAATGATGCAAGTTTCTCTGCTTTGAATCATCCTGAGTGCTTGAACCATTAGCAGGGCAAAACAGATTGCTGCCATTTGAGATAAGTTAGCGGTTGTCCAGAAGAGATTTAACCAGAAGGGACAGAGAGCTCAAGTTTCACAATCCGAGTACTATTTGTAGAGAGACTGACTTGGCAGAGTTTTGTCATTCTCCTCATCTGGTGCTTTTGAAGATGGTGAGAAGCTGCTGGCAGCTCGGACACTGTGTTCCAAGCAGTTGGTGTGGGAATTCTGCTCTGCCTCTTTCTTTGCTTTCATTACACCTCCACGAAGCTGCTCTGGCAATTCCTGAATGTTCTGTGTTGTTTTGCTTTTGTGACAATGTGGATTCCAGACTCTCAGCACTTGTGCTGTTATTGATTTTTCCATGTGCTGTTTTCTGTATTAGAAAAAAGAGAGAGGGATAGCATCTGTTTCATGAGCTTATCTGAGCTGAAACTATGTGAGCTTTTTAAGGGATATTGCTGAATTTCATCCTTTCTTCTAACAGTGGAAGAGTCAGAACTTCTTTATAGAGATTGCAAATAAGACTATAATTGAAAGGCTCAGTGATCAGGAACAGGTATTTCATTATCAATGCTCCTGCAATATTTCAAATTCAAATTTGGTATATCAGGGTTCTAGTAGTGAGATCTTTGTCAGGAAAATTCAGTGACAGACATCAGAAAACATGAGTATGTTCCTCAGTGAGAGTCAGATATCACAGACTTCTAACCCAGACAGTGTAAGGTTTGATTGCTTCCAGACCATGAAGTTTATTGAGTTTTGGGTTGGCTGATGTTTTAACAAGGTACTTGTCATTAAAAAATAGGAATGGAAGATTTTGTTCCTGAAATGAGAAATGAATATTGTTGATGTAATCAATATTTTTATTGCACTACAAAGAGCTCCCAAACCATAGGTCAGCTTCCCATGTGCTAGATTCTTACCTGTAATAAACTTCCTGATGTTAGTTTACTTTGTGTAGTGAAGAAAACAGAAGTAATGGTAGTCGTTAAATAAAATAAGAGTGACTATATAAAACAGTCAGTTGGTCTTGAAAATAATTAAACTGCAAAGTGAACATTTTGCTGAATGCAGAAGATGTTTACCAAATTTGATTACATAACAAGGTAAATAAAGAATTATCAAACTAATAGACTTAAGGGACAAAAAGGAATTTATTTCTTGAGGTTTTTCAACTTCTGGTTATGATGTTCTTTTTCAGTCTCTAAAGTTGCTTTCCACTCAGAAATTATGTAATAAAGCTGGATCAAAAACACCTTGTGTGAAGAAGTAGTCACACAATTTAACACAGATAGAGTTGATTTTAAAAAGTGTGTGTAATTAGATGCATAATTCTTATGCATAATTTGCATGCAATTATGTATGAAAATGAGATATGCACATGCATAAATGGCTAGCTAAGCACCTCACACACAATCACAGTAATTTTGCACAGAAATTAAACATGCAGTTGCAAATTCATTTTGGAAAACGAAGTCCATGAGGAGTCCAGTGGCCTTTGTGAGAAGGAAATTTATTTTTTTTACTAAGGAAAAAAATCAGATTTTTCTTTAGTCAAAAAAGGGAGAATCAAACAGCATAGAAGAGAATCAGAAGTAAAATTTAATACAAACCTATTTATTTTCAGTAGTAGTAGAAGGAGCAAAAACAATCATCGTCGTTTTTATGAACTGTCAATCTCACAAGTGTTAATTAAACCAGAGCAAATCCAGAGCAAACAGTGGTGTGAAGCTGCACCACAGCTCTTCCGCTCCGTCTCTGCTCCATGTGAGGTGGCTCAGTTTAGCGGCTTGGGGGGTGGACTCCGTGGTTTCTGTCAGCAATTCAAACACGGGCAGTTGCTCTCTCCATTATGCTGAACCTTCTCTTCAGGGGGAAAAGCTAGCTGGATCCATCCGTATGCACTCAGAGTCAATAATCCGTTCTCTTTCTTGCCGTGGCTGGGAGGCTTGGGCGGGGAGCAGAGCTATTATGCTTGATGTGATGCCAACAAAGCCATGGCTCTTGCCCCAGAGAATCTGCACTCCTGGAAAAACAATAATCTGGATGTTTAGTCAGATTTTTACTGATGATTGTTTACACAACACTCTACCAGTTTCTGAGCTTTCCTGCGGCAACCCTGACAATTAAAACAGTGACATATTTAGTTAAATGAAAATCATGTGCATCCCCATCTTAACTGTTTAAAAATAGCTTGTATTGTGACAGTTTTGGTAACAATTTTATTGTCTACTTTGAATTTAATTTGTGCAGTAAAAGACAGTGAACAAAACTTTTGTTTTCCCTAAGCTCTTAGAATTTATTCTTTGAGTTCTCAGTGATCTTTCAGAGAATTTTCAAATAAATATCTTGTTACGACGTATATTTAAAATTAATCCTTTAGGTTAAACATTTAATATCTGAACATTTAATGTTTGTTTTTCCGTTGATGTGTATGAAAAATATTTTAGCTATTCTTGACTATAGGCATTTGAAACAATTCAAATGTAATCCTATTGTGCTGTACTCTCCAGTTAAGGTAGATGCCTAACCCTGTTAATTTAGACACCCTAATGATCACAGCCACGTAATTCTGTATCATAACATTTTAATTATTTTAACTCTAATTTGAGCTCTTTGTGTTTGGGATTTACATAGACAGCTTTTACTTTTCAACGAAATGTCGTGATGTTAAATGCAACTTTTTTTTTTCTTTCGTCACTATCTTATTTTTATTTCTCTCACTTCTCCTGAGGATCCATAGAATTTTTTTTCACATTAAAAAGTTTACCTCCCTCCCCCCCCCCCTTTTTTTTTCCTCCCAAGCTAAACCAAGATTTACATCTTCCCTTGAGGAAGTCTTGTACTGGGTGCACAGATGAAAGTGCATCATCCCAGAGGTATGTCTGAAACAGAAATTGTGAGTTCTGGAGGCAGGGAGAGGCTAGCACTGATGTACATTAGGCTAAGACAGTGCTGGTAAAAGCTTCTTGCTTTCACTTTTGTTTCCTTATAATAAAAAACTACACAGTACATATTTTTGCCCAAGATGGAAGAGAATTTCTTCCATACTTAAGTCTTGATTTTGTAGTACTTTGCAGTCTTAAGAACTTATTTATATTCATTCTTTCAGTTCCCTGTTGAGGTCAGACACTGCTGTCTCTTTAGCACCTGGAGTTTTGTGGCTGTTTTGTATTTTCCAGAGGGCTGTGGGATAGGTGTGAGTAGAACTGTGGGTTTTCTGTTCTTCCCTCATACCTCTGCTGTAGACATCTTTTAGCAGGTCACAGTGCTTCCTCAAGGTGTTCCAGCCCCTCTTAAAATCTTACCCCCAAAGGTTACTGTCAAATCTCATTACCTGCTGTTGTCAGTTCTTAGATGAATTCTTGTTGCTGTGTGATCTGTTGTGCTCCTTGATTAAACTACTGTCATAAAATGGTGATTCAGAATGAATCTGTCTGGAAGTAGAATGCAGGATTGAAATAAATATGTATGATTGTCTAAATCGGTGATTCTCAACCTTTTTGAAGTTGAGTGGCACTTGAGAAAATTGGCTGTGCTGTGTAGCTCTGAGGTCAGTTCTAAAGCACCAGGAGCTGCACCTTGCTCTTTTGTTAAGTATCTGTGTACTTCTGTGCCTTATGCAGATTGTAGCAAATCTGCTTATAATGCAGTTGACTACCTGGCTCTGTTCTCTCTGTCAGTCAGTAGGGAGATTTCCTACTGGAGAATCCACATGCTCTCAGGTGTAGCACAGGAGTAGTAAGTCTGCCCTTTGGTGAAATGCTGGATGTATTATACCTGTGAGATGTGGGGATGCAATCCATTAGCAGTAGCTCTGTCTTGTGCATCCTGGAAGCACTGGAATTTGCATGCATCCACTGTACAGGAAAAACCATTTGTTTAGTTTCTGGATAAAGTACATGTGTATATACCGTGCAGTGCTATAAATCTGATAACTTATGGACATGCCTTACTGTGCATGGCTGTGCACGTGTGTGGTGAGTTTCTCCCACATTTTGCTGGTAGGTACATTAAATCATTGATGCTTGTATCACCGTGTAATGTGATTATATGGCAGGGTTTGCTGTGTATTTGCTTTGTATATTTTGCAGAAATGTGTGACCATCAGCATTCCTGAGATTTTTGTGTTCTAGCAACAGTTTGACAGTCTTTGATAGTGTAACTCTCTCTTGTTTATGCAGTAATTTTAAGCTTGTGTTTACTTTGTAAAATATACCAAAAGGTGAATTAGATTTTTGGTAAGAAGCTATTCCAGTGAATTTTCACATCCAACTTTCTCCTATTAATGTGCTGCCAGCAAGTTAGCAAAACTTACAAAGTCTGTGTGATTTTTTTGTTGTGAAAGTGCTTGGATATGCCTGTACAGGGAGGCTTCATTATGTTTTTGATAGAAAGTGTACTAAAGAGATAATATAAAAAAGCAGTTGCATGGAAAATTCAAATTGCCACCTGTGCATTTCCTTTGCTAACAACATTACCAACTTTTGTTTAACAAACAGATGAGCCCAATATAAAATTACTAAGGGCAGACAGTACATTGGGCATATCCCTGAAATCATTTGCTCAAATTTTATGTACAAACCCAGTGGGAAGACAATTCATTTTTTATAGTGTGCTGTTTTATAGTGACATTGGAAAAATTACCACTGAAATGAACTAAGATAATACAGATGTAGGATGATGCAGACAAAGAAATGAGCCTGTTCTTTAGTAGAAAGAAAAGCCTTGGCAAGAAGGTTAACAAGAATCTTAAATTATGGAATATCTTATGATGTTTGAAGAATGTAAATATTTGTATCAGTAGTCTCTTTTGCCTCTGGCAAAGAAAACAAGGAATACATAATGAGGTGGTAACTCCAAAATATGTGCCTATCCAGCATTTGAGATCTGAATTTGTTAGAGCATAGTAGTTTTCTCTAAGCTAAAACCAAGCTCTCTCTTCTAGGGTGTGCATCAATTGTAGTCTAGAGCTTACTGTCATTTAGGAGACGCATCACCAGCTGCTTTCAAATATATTCTGTATGCCATGTATTAGGTATGAAGTTGATTTGAGGAGGAAAAAAAAAAGGAAGCACTGTTCAGGTGAATGCCAGCAGCAGAATAGCAATGTTAAGGTGAAATGCTTATAGGCCAGTTCCTTCTGCTGTGACTGAGTTGTATTGTCGAGTAGCTATTAGCTTTGCAGTAAATCAGATTTAGATCCTCCAGATGTGGCCTCCAGTAGTACAGCTGCCCACATCTTCTGCTGTCTTCTGCCTTTAATTTACTGCCTTGTCACCAGTAAGCTTGGCTGTTCTCTCACCTAGCTCTATGAAGGGATCCTCAAAAGTATCCCAGCATTTTCCCCCTAGTTTGTTTGTTTGCTTGTTTGTTTTTTTGCAAACAAGCTATTTTGCTGGTCTAATTTAGAACTTGGCCACAGCAGCAGCCTTTGGGCACAGGCTGCACGTGTGGGAGCAAGGAGAATGTTTGCTACTGATTGGCTGGTAATGTGGAACCATGAAACTTGGTACTAATGCATGAGTGTCCAACCTTTTGGTTTGCGTGGGCCACACTGAGTGAAGAGGAATTGTCCCAGCATATAAGTTGCTCTGAAAGTAACACCTCCTACAGCAGATACAAAGAGCACGATAACACTATTTGATAGGGCCAATTCTCAGCTACAAAACATTATTTTTCAATATATTCACCACCATTAGCTATGCATTTTCACCAGCCATGAACAAGAGCCTGCATGCCACGCTTTTCAAATCTGCACCAGTGGAAGTGACTCATTTTTGCCACTGCTGAAATGCACCGCCCAGTGCCTCACTGTGCTCATAACCACTGGTTGGTCTCCATAAACATTAAGCTAGCATCAATATATGTCAGTGCATGCCGTTTTTTCCTCATGGAGAAATTCCACACCTTTGCTTCATTTGCACTTCCATGTCAGGCATCATTCTGTCAGGCTGCCCCTCTGCCCCACCTGTCTCATGGCAACAAAATGTAACAGAATATTGGTGGGAAGGTTCCACTTCTGCTGCTGTACCACAACATCCACCTCTGACATTGTAGACCAACGTAATAAAACCAGAAGCTTCTGAAAGAATTGGTGTCCTAATAAGTTGAAGAATCCAGGAATTTGTGGCTTGGTTTGCTTGCTTAGGTTGTGACTTTTGAGTGGTGCTTCCCTCTGTGAGTCAGATTTAGGTAAGGCATCAGAAGGAGGGCTTTCACAAGTCAACTTTTAGTTTCTGTTTCACACTGTGATTTAGAGCATAAACATTGGCCTTTCAAACTATTGCAGGTAAGCAACATTTTACATTCTTGAAATGTAAGACTAATTTTCTTGGTGAATATAACACAGTAAGTGGAAACGAATGTCCTAAAAATAACTAAGATTTTTTTCTTCTTCATTTTCTTAGTGCTGTCGCAGAAGCTGAAGGAATTGAGCCTTTAGTAAAGACCTTAAACGCTGAGAGACATGGAGCCATTGCTAATGCTGCTGCAGTGCTAACAAATATGGCCATGCAAGAGCCTTTGCGCTTATGTATTCAGAGCCATGGCGTGATGAGTGTGCTCACAGAGCCACTACGTTCTGCCAGTAGCCAGGTGCAAAGCAAGGCAGCACTCATGGTGGCTGCCTTTGGTTGTGATGCCAGTGCGAGAAGTGAGGTAAAAGTCTTCTCCAAGATTGGGATTATTTGTAAGAATTCTAGTTCTTCTTGTTACACTTACTGAGGATCCTTGGATTTTGTTTCTCTGCTCTAAAAGTTGATTTCTAGATAGTAACTAATTTTGTATGGTTACGATAGGCTCATTCAGCTGAGTTCACCTCCATTTGTTATGAAGACTTGGAAAAGGTTTTCCTTAATTTTTATTTTTACTGTTGTATTTGCCACACAAATTCATGCTACACAGCTTTCCTGTAGCTTTAATGAGTTTCAGCCAGGACTGTATCTTAATCCCTATGTTTATGAGTATTAAACATTACAGTTTCTTTCAGCTGCAACTGACGGCTGTATTTTGAAAATGATAAGTTCTCATAGCTCCCCTCAGTGTTTTACTGCTGGCCACTTCCAAGGCCAGAATGGCAGTGCCTAATTTTGATTTATGAGATACTGAATGTGCACAGAATAAATGTAACTCAAACAAAACTCAAAACGTAATTAGTTCCTCCATCAGTAGCATCCAGCTAGTTGAACTTTTCACTGTTTATCAGTGGTCATATTATTTTCATAAATAATGACAGTGCTCTGTGCATTCATAGATCATAAGCTGGAGATTTCTTAAGGGTCAAAGCTGTTACTTAAGTCATGAATAAGGGGAGTGGGTAATCCATCTACCTCTTTCAGTGTCCTTAAAATGTTTTTATCTTCAGAGATCCAAATGAGTCATATTTCCTCCAGCATTTATAGGAAAGATACTGTAGCATGCAAGAGAATGTTAATAAGTGAATGTTTATAAGATTGCCATACATATAGTACTATACAAATTCAAATAGATTGTGATGTAAATTATTTGCTAGGAAGCAACAGAAAGCAGAAAAAGGTGTATAACTCTACATGGCAGTCTTGGGCTGCATAGTCTCTTCAGTTTCTACTTTGTAATCTTATATCTGAAAAGGAGAGTCAGAAAGGATACGTGCCACTCTTGAACCTCACTTCAGCTCAGAGCAGCACAGAAGCAAAGAACTACTATAAATGGCTAGCACTGCTTTTGTCTACAAGTCTTGAATCAAGCTTTGGATGGAGAATTTAATATGTTATTCTTACTGGAATGAAGAAGGTGAAATATGTCAGCATCCATGTCTTCGTGTTCTTATAGTTAAGAAATGCAGGTGGATTGGGACCACTTGTTGAGCTGCTACATTCAAAGGACAAAGAAGTCAGAAGAAATGCCTGTTGGGCTGTCATGGTCTGTGCAAGTGATGAACTAACTGCTGTTGAACTGTGCAGGCTAGGGTGAGTAAAAATAATGTCAAGGAACAGAGGGAGGATTTTAATAAGATAACTATTAAACTTGATCTTTCTCTATTAATAACAGAAGGACAAAATTAAGCTGTGCTTTTTAGTAAACAGAAACTATTTTTGTATTGCCAGTGGTACGGCTGAAATGGTCCTGATCTTACAGAAGAAAAACTGCAAGCCTGAAGAAAGAACTGTCAGGAATTATAAATATGTTTATTGTTTCTGTAATTAAATTAGGCTTTCTACTGAAGATGTAGATCTATTGAAGACTTAGATTAGTCAAAAATAGGGACTACAAATGTCCCATACATTTGAAACTGAAATTCAGATTTCAGGCTAGGTTCAATATACAGTGAACTGTACTTACTACACAAAGGCTAATTTTTGTTAAAGAGCTCTGATTAACTGCAGATGTGCTGAACTGTCATTTTAAAGAGAATCTGTCGTATTTCTTCTTGAAAACTCCAAGTTCCATATATTAATATTTGAATTAGAAAAGCTGTTTTAGCTATAAGTCATACTCATACGTGAGGTGACTCTTATTATTAAAGTGAAATATATGTAATTGCCCTGCTCCCTCTGCTGGACACTTCTCTGGCTACTGCACAGATGCTTGCAGCCCATATGTGAGGGGATTCTGCAGTCAGACCTCAAAAACGGATCTGGAGGAGATCTCAAATGTAGTGCTGTCTGTCTACCTACTGTGACTGAATCAAGTGCACTGATATATTTCAGCTTGTCCAGTGTGATTGCAAGTACTCTTAATGGAGGGGTTTTACAGCTTCTGAGGTAACCTCTTCTGGTGCTCAGGTATTCTTATAATTAGAAGGATTTTTATTTTTAAATGTCCCTTTCCAATTCTGTCCAATTATATCTTGTCCTAATTTCAGTGGAATTTAATAACCACCTTTTATTTTTTAACCTAACTGAATTTTGTATCAGAAGTAGCATTGCCAGCAGGAGCAGGGAGATGATTGTCCCCCTATACTCAGCTCTAATGAGGCTGCATCTTGAGTACTGTGTTCAATTTTGTGCCCCTCACTACAAGAAAGACATAGAGGCCCTGGAGTGTGTCCAGAGAAGGGTTGAGGGGTCTGGAGCATAAGTCTTATGAGGGGTGGCTAAGGGAAATGGGATTGCTCAGTCCAGAGAAGAGAAGGCTCGGGAATACCGTATCACTCTCTATAACTGCCTGAAAGGAGGTAGTGGTGAGCTGGGGGTCTGCCACTTGTCCCAGGTTATAGCCAAGGACAAGAGGGAATGGCCTCAAGTTGTGCCAGGGGACGTCCAGGTTGCATACTAGGGAAAACTTCTCATAAAAAGCAGTCAGACACTGGAATGGGCTGCCTGTGGAGGTGAAGTCATCATCCCTGAAGGTGTTCAAGAACTGTGTAGATGTGGTACTAAGGAACATAATGAACAACATTGGTGGTAGGTGGACAATTGGACAAGCTGATCTTAGAGGTCTTTTCCAACCTTAATAATTGAATGACTGTATTCAATTTCTCATGTTCCATGTAAATTTCTCAATTTCCTTTTCATGACAAAGCAAAAACATTGAGCTGCTTTTTGTTTAGAAGTCTGGTATCATTCTGTCACACATTTCTAAATTTCTCTCAGTTATTTACGCTGTTTTGAAGTGTTATCTCCCTGGATGAGGTATTTCAGCTGAGGTCACCCCACCGTCAACTAAGTCTCAGTAATTATTTTCCATATCTTGCATATAGCACTGTTCTTATTTAATCCTTTCTTTCTGGCAGCATCAGAGTAGGACTCTAATTTATATGTCCTTCTAGTTTGACAGCATGTTACTGATAATAATACATTAAGAATAGTTTTTCAGCCAGTCAGGCACTACTTCATGTTATTTTCATATAGATCGTATTTCTCTGACTTGCTCAGGACTATTCAAATAGGAATATTTGAAAAGACTTATTAAAGTCACAACATATCTCAAAGTGAAGACATATCTCACATCTAACTCCTTATGCCTATACATTAAGTCAGTTACCCTATCACAGAAAGGATTAAATTGGCTTTAGATGATTTGTTTATAACCATACATAATGGCTATTACTAGCCACCTTATCTCTTGCATGCTTCCAAATTGATTGTTTAGTATTCTGATATAATATTCTTCGGACACTGAAATTCGGCTGAATGATCTCCACCATTTCCTTGCTCATTCTTTTTAAATCTAGATACTATCTATGCCCTTCTCCACTCTTCTGGCAGCTCACCTGTTCTCCCCAAATTTTCAAAGATTATTATAAATACTTTAGAAGTTGCTTTTGCCATTTCAAAACACAGTAAGAGGTAAGTCTCAGGCATTACTTTTGTCTTCTGAAGCTTATGTGTTATGCCTACTGCTTCTACCTTCTTATTAATATTGCTGTTGGGCATCTGTTTGCAACCATTTTATCAAAACTGAAGCAAGAAAGGCAGCAGACATTTCCGTCTTTTCTATGCCATCTCTTATGAGTTTTCTTCCCACACTGAGTCATAGACTTACATTTTTTTCTTTGATTTGTAGTATATGAAACATTTATTTTTGTTTTGGGTTCTTGAATGGTTTTATCTTGATTTGCCTGTAGGCTTTTTGGTTTTGTCCCTTACTTTTTCTTCCTTGTTGGAAGTCTTCATATTTCCATTTCTGGGTTTTCAGGTAGTCACAGTATTGTTAGTGCTTCTGCATTTTGTCCCTTTTTGACTTGTCTTTCCTTCACGTGAGGCCACTGTGCCTTTAATGCCATGTTTGAGACGTTGCTATACTCACTAGACTCAATTTTCCCTTTGATAATCCCTTTGTTATCTGACATTCTGATATCTTGTTTGCTTCTGATCTTGTTGAGATTTGCTTTATGACAAATAGTCTGTATGGTTGTTCTGTTTTCTCCAGTGCTCTCTTTTAGAAGATATGGTTGTCACTTGCCTTGTCTGCAAAACTTTTTATCTGGATTTCATCTGACACACTTTCAGAAGTCTGTCTTATTCATG